GGATGTACTATTTAACTAAAATTCTTATTGCAGTCATGTTTCATTTTATATGTAGGAAAAAAAATATATAAGCCTTTTACTATCCTAATGAGAAAATATTCCTGGGATCTTAGTTAACATTGCCATTATAACTTTTATATCTTAATGTAGTATTTAAGGATTTTAATGTAAAAAACACCATGGGTTTAGTACAAGTTAAAAAAATAAGATAGAAATGAAATGTTTGTGTTAATTTCACCCCTTATGAAAAGTCTGAACACTTCTCAGTATTTTTTTTAAAGTATATTTTATTGATTTTTTTACAGAGAGGAAGGGAGAGGGATAGAGAGTTAGAAACATCGATGAGAGAGAAACATTGATCAGCTGCCTCCTGCACACCCCCTACTGGGGATGTGCCAGCAACCAAGGTACATGCCCTTGACCGGAATTGAACCTGGGACCTTTCAGTCCGCAGGCCGACGCTCTATCTACTGAGCCAAACCGGTTAGGGCTCAGTATATTTTTATGTGCTGTGCAGGATGTACCGCACACCACCAGATTTTTATAAATTTGAAGGGTTGTCTTCCTAAGTAATCCTTTTACTTCAGTTGTTATTTGAATCAAATTGCATAGTGTGTGGAATCAAGGAAAAGGAGGTGGGAAAATTGAGTTTGTCTGACTTAGGCTTGTGAGGGATATGAGACCATACCTACAACTCTATATTCTAGAGTAGATTCCTCTACTCACAGTAATTGTTTGTGGGTATTCAGCCAAGGACATTCTGATCTTGATTCTCTGAGTCCTTTACAAATCTAAAAGATGGAACTACTAATGGGGATACTGCTATTTACTTGTTGGGGACCAGGATCTTGGTTCCCCTTTCCTTGTAGGTGTAACTCTGGGGCTTTGGCACTCCCCATAGCTATGTATCTATATATAGCTATATATCTTCTTCCAGATCTTCCACACCCAAGAGAAAATGTAAAACTGAGATTTATCATCTTGAACTCCCTGAACTGAAAGTCATGTTAACCTCACTGAGCCCGGTTAGCTCTAAATCAGCCTGGAGCGGAGACATTCCACGTTACTACACAGTCAGTGACAGTGACTTTGTTTTTGATGCTGTATGAATTAGCTTTTGGATTGAATTGATTTTAGGATCTTTAATCCCCAGTCTGTATATCTTTAATGCCACATTGGAATAGTCCCTAGCTCTGCTCCTTCTGCTTCAGTCTCTACTTACTAATGTTTGAATAAAAATGCCAACTACCCCAATGACCTGTACACACATGCACATGGACATGCACACACACACAAGGTATCAGAAATTGGTTGTGATTCCTTTATAGTTATAGTTATATTTGTAGAAATTTGATGATATCTTAAAATATTATAAGATATAACACTTCCTTTTTGCTTATTAAGCCCTTCTTTCTGAGGTTTATAATTTTCTTATAGGTTCTATATATTTCATTTTAAAATTATTTTTTATGTATTCAGTAATTTTTTTGCTATTGTTAATGTTATTTCAATGTTTTGTAACTGGTTATTATTGGTAAACTAGAGGCCCGTTGCAGGAAGATTCCTGCAAGAATAGGGCTTCCTACGGCTGGAGCGAAGCAGAGAAGGGAGCAAAACCCACTGAGGTGGGCTTAGCTCCCGCCTCCGCTGCCGGCCCGGCTTGTTTTCCTCCCGCCTCTGCCGCCTGGCTTGCTTTGCTCCCAGCTGGTATATGCAAATTAACCGCTATCTTCCCAGCTGGTATATGCAAATTAACCGCTATCTTGGCTATCTTGGTTGGGTTAATTTGCATATAGTCGCTCTGATTGGCTGGTGGGCATAGCAAAGGTACGGTCAGTTAGCATTTTTGTCTTTTTTTTTTTTAAATATATTTTATTGATTTTTTACAGAGAGGAAGAGAGAGAGATAGAGAGTTAGAAACATCGATGAGAGAGAAACATCGATCAGTTGCCTCTTGCACATCCCCCACTGGGGATGTGCCCGCAACCCAGGTACATGCCCTTGTCCGGAATCGAACCTGGGACCCTTCAGTCCGAAGGCCGACGCTCTATCCACTGAGCCAAACCGGCTTCGGCAGCATCTTTGTCTTTTATTAGTGTAGATGAGAGTACACTTTTTGTACATTTTACATTTATTTTTCTATATAAATTTGTAATTGACCATCTTTCTGATTTTTTATTGTTTCTAATAATCTTGCAGTTGATTCTTTTGGATCTTAAAGGTAGACAGTCATGTCATTTGAAAATAATGATAATTGCCATCTTTTCCCCAAAATTTTGCCTTTTATTTTCTTCATATATTTGATTGCATTTTTAGGACATCAAGAGGAAGTTATAGTCTTAAAGCTTAATTTAAAAAATCTACTTCTTGTTTTTTCCTAAACTTTTTGCCTCTTTTTTTAAAAAACATATATATTAAGTGGGGGGGAAAAAGGCAACAAGTATTAATAGAAAGTCACCTTTGCCTGGGAAATTAGGGTTGGAGGGTGGTTTACAGAATTGGTACATTCATTTTGCTTAACATTGAAAAAGCTAAACTGAGGTACACTTTTGTTTTAATTCCTATCAAGCATAAATTATTGGCTTTCAGGGTTTTCTTATCTTTTTCTTAAGCAGCCTGTTAAAATATGGCTCTTTTCAAATAGTGTTGTTATGTAATTTATTTTGTATATAATATACTAAAACTAATAATTCATCTACAGCTTTTAGTGTTTTTTTTTAAGAAAAATGTTGAATTCACTTGTTATTGAGTCTTCATAGAACACAGCAAACATGATCTTTTCAAATAAAAAAGGTTTGAATTAGATATTTTTCATTTTCTCTTAAAAAAACCGAACTTTGTCATGTTTCCACGACTAGATCTATGTAAACCATACATTAGTAGTGATTTAGAATTGTAAAATGTTTATTGACAGGATATATTATAATAAATCTGTGTTATACAACGACATGAATTACTTGGCATGGAAAAGTCTTTGGGGAATAAAAGCCCTTCCCCCTTCATTTAATGATTTAAAAGAATTTTCCCTAATCACTTCACATTTGTATGTTGTCCTCACTTACTGTTTTTCCAGTTTGTTTAGTGTTAATCATAGGAGTACATGAGATGAAAAATCAAATAATACATGAGTTATATTATGAAATGGTGGAAATTTGCATATCTGACAGCTAGATATAATTTTGTTTTGATTCATTATATAAAATAGATTCATTGAAACTTTTGTTTTTTAATTTGAATAAAAAATATTTTCAATGATTAAAAATAAAATTTTATAATTTAATTTTAAAAGATTATTGTTTAGTGCTTTGTATTACTAATTATACTATCCTCACTATTTTAATATTCTTTTAGTGTCTGCATGCAAAAGAGTTAATTATACACATTAAAATCATATTATTATTCTTAGTACAGGAGTATGATTGCTGCTATTTTTTTGTTTTTTATTTGATATGTAAAACTAGAAGTTATTTTTTTAAAAACTCTATTTTAGATGGAACGATTAGATGATTCCTCAAACTTGTTTTTATGAAAACTTATTGGTATAAGTGTTTTTATAATAACCCATTTATAATTTAATTACGGAAAAATAAACAATAGGTATTGATTCAGAGTAGAATGCTAAAATGTCAGCAAGCTTTGATACTTTCTCTACTCCAGATATTTTAAACCCTTAAATTGTGAAAAAGACAACTATTATTTTTTGTACTTCAATATACTATGTCCAGGATATATAAGTAGGATTTTGCAACTAGATTTACATTAATGCACATTTCTACAGAAATTATTTGTTGAACCAAGTACAGAGATTTTGTTTCTAGGTTGAATATGTTTGCATTTTATATTATATAGAGGATTTCATCCTCTCATTAATTTTATGAACTCAAATATATATATATATATATATATATATATATATATATATATATATATAGCGTCTGATATTCTGACACTGTGCTAGGTGCTGGGTACAAAAAGGTTAATAAATACAGGCATACCTGAGAGATATTTTTGGTTTGGTTCCAGAATACCTCAATTAAGTGAATATCGAAATAGCAAGTCACACAAATGTTTTGGTTTTCAGTGCATATAAAAGTTATGTTTACACTATACTGTAATCTGTTAAGTGTGCAATAGTATCATATCTGCACATACCTTAATTAAATACAGGATTTCAGTTCTCTTGCTGTTTCCATCATATCTTCAGTTACTTCCTCTACTGAACTGTTGAATCTCACAATGTCATCCATGAGGGTTGGGATCAACTTTTTCCAAATTTCTGTTAATGTTGACATTTTGACCTCTTCCCATACATCATGAATGTACTTACTGGCATCTAGAATGGTAATTTTTTCCAAGAAGGTTTTCAATTTACTTTGCTCAAATCCAAGAGTGGAATTACTACTTCTGTGGCAGCTATAGCCTTAAGAAATGCATTTGTTAAATGATAAGACTTGAGTCAAAATTACCCTTGGATCCATGGGTTGCATCAAAACAACATTTAATCTTGTTGTACATCTTTATCAGTACTTTTGGGTGACCAGGTGCATTGTCAGCAGCATTTTGAAATAAATCTTTTTTTATTTTTTATTTTTTTATGAGCAGTAGGTCTCAACAGTGTGCTTAATATATTCAGTAGACCATGTTGTGAACAGGTGTCCTATTATCCAGGCTTTGTTGTTCCATTTATATAGCTTAGACAGAGTAGATTTAGCTTACTTCTTAAGGGCTTTATGATTTTTCAGAATGGTAAATGAGCATGGCTTCAACTTAAAGTCACCAGCTGCATTATCTTCCAATAAAAGTGTCAGCCTGTCCTTTGAAACTTGGAAGACAGGTGTTGACTACCGGTCTCCTGTCTAGTTATGAAAGTCCTAGATCTTCTTCCAAAATAAGGCTGTTTTATCTACATTGAAAATATGTTGTTTATTGAAGCTACATCATTAATTATATTAGCTAGATCTTCTGGACAACTTGCTAAAGCTTCTACATCAGCACTTCCTTCTTCACCTTGCACTTTTATGTTATGGAGATTGCTGTTTTCCTTACACCTCGTGAACCAAACTCTGCTACATGCAAGCTTTTCTTCTGCAGCTTCCTTGCCTCTCTCAGCCTTCATAGATTTGGGAATTCTTACACAGCCTGGAGAAGGAAACTCTGCCTGCAAGGAGAAAATTTTACAAGTTGACTGGGCCCTGGACACCCAAGATATCCAGGTTAAAGGTGTTTGAGCATGTTGGGTTTTTAAAAAATAGTTCTTAAACACACTTTACACAATAATTAATCATCTGTAGACAGTCCTGACAACAGTGGAAATGAGTGTTCTTATGAATTTTACCCTTTATCAGAGGGTAAACTTTGAATAAAGCTTTGTATTCAAGAAGGCAAGCTAGTCCTTGATATTTTCCAGTGAAATTTCCTCACTCTTAGTCGTAGATGCCATGGTTCTTGGACCAATAGTTTCATGGAACTGTGGTATTACCACCTTTTTGATCAGCAGTATAGATGGTGGCTTTCACAATAAAACATTGCTTGATCTTAAATTCTTATTTCACTAATACTTACACCTCATAAGGCATTTTCAGAAATATTAGATTTCTTGAGCCTACCAACTCTGCAAGGATTGTAGGACAAATAATATCATTACACTGGGTGGACAAACAGAAGTTCACAGAAATAACTTATACAGTGTTATCCAGCTAGTTGGTGCCATAGTTGAATTTGAATTCAGTTAAGTGCCTTGTATCATAATGCTTTCAATTTGTTGAATCAGAGTTTCAAAAGAGGAAAATAAAAATTTCTTATGTAGATCCATATTTAATGATTCAACATACATGCTATCTACCACTTTAGGATTGCCAAGTAAAATACAGCACACCCAGTTCAATTTGAATTTTAGATAAAAACAACAGATGCTTTTTAGTATAAATACAGGGGTGGGCAAAAGTTGATTCACAGTTGTTCATATGGAAAATAAGAAATAATTAATAAATAACAATGTAAGAATAAACTCTGTTTCATGTCCTCACAACGGTAAACCTACTTTTGCTCACCCTTGTATATCCATGCAATGTTTGTATTTTCATTTGCTAAACCTGGCACCGTATATTACTTCAGGGGGCGGGGAGGTGTCTTTTCCTAATTCTCATTTCCCCCAACTGAGGAGGCTCTGATCTTGAATTTCAGCATTTTGGTTTTCTCTATGGTTCTTTGCACTTTACTTCACTTGTTTTTAAAACTGACTTTTCATTTCTATGAGACTGAAAGCTCTCCTGGATTAGAGGTATTTAGTTTTCAGCATTTCAGTGCTTTACCCACTGAATGAATGAATCCTTACATCTATTGCCCTGCTGAGCCATATTATAGCCTGAGGCAAAAATTTTAAAATGTGTGTTCTTGTATCTACTTATTAAAATCTCCTCTCATATTCTGTATCAAATAGAAAAAAATAAAAGTCTATAGTTAAAAAATATGATATATAAAGCACATCAACCACTCTGTTGGACACTATTATCAGCACCAATAAACCCTGTTGGCGAACAGACTCATGGCCTGGGAGGTAGCTGCCCGCTGATGGAAATGGTGGTGCCTGTTGTACAATAATGCAGGGTCATAAAACAAAGAGGAATGACCCATCTTTGTTTAAAATTTATGTTTTGTTTATCATTGATTTGTTCATTAATTTTTATTCTTTAATATATTGCACTAAATTGTCTTGATTACTAAGTTTTGTTAGCTTTTTAAATCTTGTGCTTCTGGTTAAATCTTTGGGGGATTGCAAGAAGTTATTTTATTTTGGTATCTACTTATTTTTTTTATATCTTAGTCCCCTATATATTCAGGTTCATGGATGACCTTGAATATAAAATCTGTAGAACTCAAAGTCTAATCTTTTTTTTTATAGATAAATTGATCACAGTGGCAAAGTTGAGAGTAGAATTTCTTGCTCATTGTGGTTTCTGCGGGCCATTTAGGCTTCCCTGTGGAAAAATGTAGCATTTAAGTCCTTTTTTTTTAACCTTTAACATTAAGGTCCAAAGAATAAACACTGTCATTGGAGCATATTGTCTTCATTATTGTAGGAATTAATGCATATTGCTTATCTCTGGATCACTTATTTTAAAATTCTGCCAGGTTTTTCACAGAGGAAAAAATGTGAAAAACATAGGTATCCTTATTTAAAGTGCCTTTCTGTTTTGTAAAATAGATTGGTTTTGATTTTTATGGGTAACATTGGAGGCTAGGTCATAGTTACATTCTCAAAAAGTTCCACTATTGTAATTATCTGTCTAAGTAAACTTTCTTCTAGGTGTCTATAGATGGCTGTTCTTCCTAGGATTGCCCTCTTGACTTCTGATTTGGGAATTAAGATTTTGATAGAAACCTTATCTCACCTTCCTGTGTAGCTTGCTTCATTAGAGCTGATGAAGTAAGATCCACAGCAAATTCAGAACTCTGGAGATATGACAGACAACCTGGTACAAATCTTTTAGGAGACAAGCTGAAGAGTTTGATTGACAGGTTGTCTTGTAATTTAGTGAAGCAAAGAGAATTTTCTTATTAACCAATGAGACAGATGGGCTCAAGTTTGAAGGGCTTAGTTTAGTTCTGCTTATATTTGGATGACTCTTTGTCCTTTTTATAGTAAGTAAAGCAAGCAGATAGACTAGAGTTTGTCCAATATGAGTTTTGAGACAACTAGTATGTAAATTACGATACTTGATGCTCTCATTTGAAGAAAGTTCAAAGATTTAGAAAGGAAAAACAAAGGATTCTACACTGAGGACTTCAGCAAACTATTATGCCAAAATTATAGGCCTCACAAAAGAACCTATGGTATGTTATTTAATCAAGCAACCAGAGAAGGGCAAGTTTGGTTAATATAGCAGCCATAAGGAATGAGGGGCCTACATAAAAACTAAGGTTGTCAGATTCATCAATATGCTAAAATAAAACTATTGTATGGAAAGTTGTTGGGGAAAAGATAGTTTTGTAACATCACAGATTATTGATTGTGAAGGGCAAAAACTACCTTTACTATGGTGAAATCCAGCAGACATCACCTCAATCAAGTGATCAATCATTACCATCAATAATGGGGAAAATGGACATTATGTGTCTTCAGATGTGATCCTGTGGATATTACAGCATCTCCTATAGTCTTATTGTCAAAGAAAAAGCTTACTATGAATTTAATTACAAAGCAGTAATCAGTCACATGGAGATTATGGGACATCCTATAAGACAATTGGCCCTAACTGCTTTGGCTCAGTGGATAGAGCGTCGGCCTATGGACTGAAGGGTCCCAGGTTCGATTCCGGTCAAGGACATGTACCTTGGTTGCGGGCACATCCCCAGTAGGAGGTGTGCAGGAGGCAGCTGGTCGATGTTTCTCTCTCATCGATGTTTCTAACTCTCTATTCCTCTCCCTTGCTCTCTGTAATAAAATATATTTAAAAAAAAAAGACAATTGATGTGGAATCTTAAAATATGTCAATATGATGAGAAGCAAAGCAAAGGTTAAAGGACCATGACAATTAAATGGAATGCATGATCCTTCATTGGACAGGGGGCAAAAAGGTATTAAGAACATATTGGGACAAGTGGAGATTGTATAAGAGAAAAATGTATCAAAATTAAATTTCTTGGGTATAATAGTAATGTTGTGACTTAATAGGAAGATGTTCTAGTTCTTAGGAAATATATTTTTAAGTATTTATTAAAAATTATATGTTTGAAACTTATTTTCAGATGATTCTGCAAAGAAAAACAATGTGTTTTGGACAGCAATACAGCAAATGTGGTGAAATATTAACAATTATTAAATCTATGTAAAAGGTTTACAGGTATACCTTTCTTTTTGTTTTTCTTTTCAGTATGTTTGGGGAAATTTTCAAAATTAAAAGTTAAAAACAACCAAGTAAGTATCAGATCCCTAACTCTATACAAGATTGAAAGTTAAGGGGCATAGGATCCAGGGAAATCTCCCAAGAATTCTCTGTCAATGGTTTTCTCTCTCTAATACCTTGGACTTAGGAGCAGGAAAAAAAAATCAAGGTAAAAAGGAATATTTTTAAAACATGAGCCACATGGTACATAAGAAAACTCTTAGAGAACGTAGGCTATCTTAAAGTTAGGGCCAATCTTTCCTATTCATAATAAAGTAATGGATAATGAACTTGAACTTAGTATGAAAAGGAATGGATGTGACTTCCAGAAAGTATAGAGTTTGGGCTGCGATATGAGGGTTGGTGTTTGGAATGCTAAGCTGCAGCCACTGTCATGGACTGTCTAAAGAGATTCATGTGTCTAAGGTAGCAAATGAAGCTAGGACTTGAGCCCAGCTCTTTTATGCTTAACACATGCTTAACACACGTAAAAGTGGAGACCGAGGAATATAAATGGGTGAGACATCAAAATAATGAGAAATCGAGTACCAGTTAGAAACTATCTTTGAAGGAAAAAATTGGTAGCTAAGTCATTCTTCAAATGGCAGTTTATCTTAATGTTTATATGTAAAGATGTTTGATCATTTATTTAGTTGTGCTATTTTGACTTTAATAAAAGTCTCCTTTTCCTCCATAAAAGCCCATAGTATGTACATTGTTAAATGACTTACCCAAGGCTCAGCTCCATTCTGCATGGTGGTGACATGGTTGATTTGAGCCTATGTCATCAGACTCAGCAGTCCTTTATTTCATTATGTTTCTGACACACCTCCCACAGATAATTCCTTAGGAGGTTTAAATGATATCATGCATATGAAAAGGCTAGAGAAATTAAAGGGTTTACTCCATACATAATTCAGGTATTTTTAAAATTGAAGGTATTTTTACTTTGAAGGCCATAAGGACAAGTCAGATATAGTTCCTACCCTCAGGGAATTTACAGGGAATTGAATCAGATATGTATATCAATCACTGTCATACTATAAGCTACACTATGTTATGTGCCACAAAATAGTAGTGGGAAGAGAACAGGTTTGCAAGTCACACAAGTAGAACCATAGCATTTGCCATGTACTGTGCAGCCTTGACAAAGTGACCCAAGTCTTGGTTTTATCATGAGGAAAGTGCGAAACCCTGCTTTGCTCAGGAATCATGAGGAGTGATACTGTCTTAACAGCACAGTGACTGACACAAAGTTAGCATTGCATAGGTAATAATGATATTGTTGTGACCTATTTTTATTTGGCTCAATATTCTATATTTTCCCCATCACCAATAGCACCATTTGGTGGCTGCCATCAGAATTATATATGATAATGTTGAGGATCAACTCATTGACCTGTTGTACTAGTACCCTTTGAGACCTTTATGAGGTATTAATCTGTAATCTTTGGATGCATTTATTTATCTTTTCTGTATTATATTTGGTTTGTTTTCAGTTTTTGGTTATTATGAGCTGTTGATATGACTATTCTTTTTTAAAAAATATGTTTTTACTAGAGGCCCAGTGCACAAAATAGTGCATGTGTAGGGTCCCTAGTGGCTGCCGGCTGCTGCCGGGGCCTGCCTTCATTTCGCACCACCCCCTGGTGGTCAGCGCACGTCATAGTGAACCATTGAACTCCTGGTCGGTCGAAATATATATATATATATATATATATATATATATATATATATATATAGATCGATTTTGAGAGAGAGAGAGAGAAATATCAATTGGCTGCCTCTTCTCACCCTCTACTGGGAGTCAGGCCTGCAATCTAGGCATGTGTGCTGACCAGGAATTAAACGATTGACCATTTGGTGCATGGGATAATGTTCAACCGACTGAGCTACACTGGCTGGGCTGACTGTTCTTTATACATATGTCTCAAGCACATGCACAAAAGGTTTTTGAGGGCATAGACCTAGGATTGGAACAGTCGTAAAATGCCAAACTTTTCCAAAGTAGTCAAATAAATTTATACTCAAAACAGCAGTGGATGAGCATCCCTTTGTCCCATATTCTCACAGATGCTTGTGAAACCTCCTTCATCATTATTACTCAAGAAATCTCATTGTAGTTTTAATTTGCATTTCCCAGATTAGATAGCATGCTTTTCAATTTATTTAAGCCTTTTTAAAATGTCTTACAATTTCATAATTTTCCTCAGCAAGAGATAGTACATATTTTGTTAAATATTCTTAGACATGGTATTTCTATTGTAAGTGATATTTCAAAAATATTTTTCTAACTTTTGCTGGTATGTAGAAATGTAACTTTTTAATGTTAATTTTTGTATCTGACAACTTTGTTATTCTCTTATTAATTTAGTTGTAGATTCTTTGGGGTTTTCTACATAGACAATCACAACATTTGTAAATGCTAACAGTTTTGTTTCTTAATTGTTATATATCTCTTCTTGCTTTAGGCCACTTTATTAGATTCTTACAAGTTTAGAATTTCTGTATTTTTCTGTTGAGAATGTTTTATTATTCTGTCATGACCTTTTTCTCTATTAATGCTTTTGACTTCACATGTCTTTTGTTTGATATTAATATAGCACATTGGCTTTCTTTTAAAGAGTTTAATATTAGCTGCAGAGTTCAATCCATTTGCATTTATGTGATTTCTAACATTGGATTTTTTGAACCAAGTTATTATTTTTTAAATTTATTTAACTCTCCTAACTTCCCCGCTCCTCTCCCATTTTCTCTTACCTTCTTTTGGATTCACTAGCATTTTTTTTAAAATCTATTTGGAAGTTATGTGCTCTGTGTTGGTTCTTTTAATAGTTACCTCACTATTTTAATATACATACTTAACAGAATATAAAGGTAATTAATATGTATTTTTTTTTTGTCAAACTTACCTTTCCTCTTTCCCATTAGTAATTATTATTGTTTTATACAATTGATGTTTATTTAGGTTTACCCATATACCTTATGAGTATTTTTGTTTACCATTTCTTCTTTCATTTCTGTCCTTACATCTGAGATCATTTTTCCTTCCTCCTCCATGGTGTTCATTATAATATCCTTTAGTGAGAGGCTCATTCTGTTTTTGTTCTTTTGAGTATGCTGTTACTTTATTCTTTTGGGAGACAGTGTGACTGAGTATGAAATTATGGTTTATAAGTTAGTTTCTTTCCTGCCAATGAAGATGTTTTAGTGTCTTTTAGCATTGTTTATTGCAGTTAAAAAGTTATTGTGAGTCTAATTGATATTTCTTTATAGATGATCAGTCTTTACTTTCAGGCAGATTATAACATCTCTTTATCTTAATATAATGTGGTTTTATGATGTGTTGAGTGAGGTGTGAATTTCTTTTTATTATGCGTGTAACTTATTGGACTCTTCAGATCTGCAGATTGGTTTTCATCAGTTCTCAATAATCTTTGCCATTATCTCTTTGGAAATTTTAACTTACTCATATGCTGTGTGTTCTGATTACATATATGTTGTTTTCTTATATTTAACTCCTACTTATTATCTCATTACCTTTTCATCATATTTTTCATCTCTTTGATTATTTCCTCAGATAGATCTTAAACTACTTGGTCTTGATATTGACTGTTTCTAAATTATAAAATATATAGTGAAGGCAATTGATATTTAGAACTATGTTCTATAAGAAATTGAGTCATTAAAATAAATTAATTTGCTCTTCTCTCCATGGCTTATTCCAGTAGCATAATCACACCATCCTATGGAAAATGAATATGTGGATTGATATTTACATTTATTGTATCTAAAAATTATTTCCCACTTTCATAAAAATGCCCTGTATCACTTCTTAATTTGAAAAACAAATCAAGTGCTTTTATTTTCTAAAATATATATTAATAATTTTAGATGGAATCAAGGCTAACCTTAAGGTTTTACCTTTTATTTAGCTGTCATCCATATCAAATTCTTCTAATGTGAGTTTAAAAGAAACTTTTTTATTTTTAAAAGTGCTCCTCCAGCTGGTGGTGAACTTTATACATTTTCTCTACATCTTTTTTTCTTTTACTTTTCAATAAGAAATTTCAGTGATTATTTTATAGGAAAGTGTCTGTATGTCAAATAATGTCTTAGTCATTTATGTGAAAGTAAATATATTACAATTATTCTCTCTATTTGATTCACTATCGTGACACCAATGAACCTTAATCATTTTATTAATATTGAAAGCACTTATTTGAATTTGAGTTGCTGAATTATTTAATATTACTTTTAAAAATTTAATTACATTTCAAGAAGACACAAAATGAACAAAACAGAAAGGTCCTTTAAAGGGAAATTAAAACCATGGTCATAGATTTTATTTTATGGAAAGTTCTTTTAAAATGGAGAAAAAAACTCTAAAATAACTGCACTATAATGACACATTAATAAAAGTTATATAAAAATGTATATATATATATATATATATATATATATATATATATTACATAAAAACAGAGTAAGCCTTTAAAACATGTAAATAGTTCAATTACCCCCAAAGATGAGTATCTATAAAATCTCTATAAAAATAAATGTAAGATATAATTTGATAAATTAATGCATATTTACATTTTAATTTTGGAAAGAATTGTAATTTTTTCCATTTTTCTGTGAAGAAAGGTAATCAAAATTATGTTCCTGCCAATTTTCTCTTAACAAAATACTTTTAATTGACTGTCTATGGTGGAAAAGAGGGGGTGTAGCAGGTAAGAGAGGAGGGTGCTGCTGCATTAGCAGAATTTTATTCTGTTCCAACTTCATGCTGGATATGACAAACCTGAGTTCTTATTGTTTTTCTGGTCTTTGACAAGATTTCATGATCTTTTTCTGCTTGAATTTGCCTGGTTTCCAGCTTTCACTACCAGTGTGTCCACCCCAGGACACAGGTTTTCTGAATTTATATCTTCTCTTGGGGAATTTTAGATAGTTTTGGA